GCTAGAAAAAAAAAAAAAAAAAAAAAAAAGAGTCAACATTAGACTATGTATTCGTGCATATAACAGGATGATTAACGAACATCTGAAATAAAACACACAGAACTACCTTCAAATAATAGTTTCCTTCTGTAGCAAGGTTACTGACTGAAGGAAAAAAAAAAAAAAAAAAAAAGAGAAAATTATAGTTAAGCCAAAATACAGCTGGTTCCTACTTGCCCTTCCAGAATGCCCCAATTTCAGAATGGAAGCAAGAAACTCTAGTACTGAGAAAAGAAAGTTTAGGCTAGAAAGATGGAGTTTACACATGGTCGTCTCTAACTCAAGGGAAGAGAAAAGATAAGTCAGTTCAGAACGAGCAAAATAGACTCAAAACAAGCCACCCTCCTGAAAAGCGTGATCAAGTTTCCACACGTAGTAAATAGACAAAGGCTTCCAAAAATAGGTGAAAACATTCTCCCTGGCTGAACATCTCGCCAGGGAAGCGCGTTAGATCCCGCATCAGGATCTGAAGGGCTCCGTCTCCCTTCGGAGCACAATGCTGCCCAGGAGCCTGGCCCTTCTGCAGGGGCCACCTCCAGAGGTGGGTGTAACTTAAGCCCAGGAGCTCACTCAGCCCTCGGCCTCTCTGCTGAGAGCCAACATGGACGCTGCCTACCGCCAGTCAGGGAGGTGTTTTCCAAAGTGTGAACACCATTTTAAAGGGAACTGCCACCAACCCGACCAAAGCAATTCCACACAGATCACTCTGCAGCCAAATTAGGCAGCCAGTGACCTGAGCCCCACCGAGATGAGGAAGGAGGTTAACCCCTCCCCTGCCCAGAGCCACCCCGACCACCCCCAGACACCCCCCCCGTTCCCCAGGGCATGGAAGTCAAGGAAGAGAGCACACACCTGGCGATGGGGCTTCGGCTCACAGACCGCTTGGCGGTGAAAGGGCTGCTCGAGCGCCGTCGGCCGTAAGGGCTCGGTGACCTCCCGCTGTATGAGCCGCTGCCTCTCTCGTAGCTCGAGGAGCGCCGCCTGTTATAGGGGCTTATGGACCTCTGCCGCCGGCTGTAAGGGCTGGGGGAGCGAGTGTTCGACTGGTAAGCCACAGGCTCCTTGTAGGGTGGGCTGATCGACTGCCGGCGTGAGGAGCCGCCGGGGCTCTTCCTGTAGGGATCGTAGTTACTGGATGTGTGAGAGCGAGGAGGGCTGAGATCATACTCCTGGATGTAGGAGGCTCCTGAGGGGCTGTCGTCCAATTTAGGGCTGTCGGACCATTTTCTGTGAGGACTTCTGGATTTCCGCTTCGGACTGTCAATTGTTTTGTAGCTTTTTGGAGCATCCCTTTTCCGATGGCTTTTACTGCGCTCTTTGTGGCTGGACTTGAGCTCCCGATCCTTCCTGGATTTCTCCTTGTGCGCTTTGGCTGATCGAGACTCCTTGTTGCTGCTCTTTGAGGACAGCGACTTTGGGTGCTCCTCGCTTTCAAGGAGTCTCTTGGAGGATCCCGATATTCTCTCCTTGGTGGACCCGGACCTGCTGGATGCCTCCAGGCTCTTTTCCAACTTCCTCTCTTTTTCTGCCTGTTTGCTCTTCATCAGCTCACGAATGCGCTTGTGCTGGTGGTGCCGGTGCTTCTGTATCCTCTCGCTCCTGTCCGCTTTCCTTTCCTCATTCTCCCTCCTATCCAGCTTGAGGGCCACATCATCCGAGAAGGTATCCGAATCCGAACTGATGTCATCATATTCCACCAGCGGCTTGATCATCGCGCCCAAGGGTGCCGCCGTCTCCTGGGCTGCCAGCGGTGACTCCTTGGAGTGCCTGGACTTATGCCTCTTGTGCCTGGAGGCCAGCCGGTGCCTCTCCTTGCTGTTCGAACTCCCGCTGCCAGGCCCGTGCTGCGAGGACCCCCCGCCGCCCCCATCCTTCTTGCCCCCATGTCTCTCCGGATTTGGCATTCCTCCTCCACTGTGCTCGAGAGAGGGGAGGGGGGCAATCCTCCAAAACCCCCAAACTTCAAACTTCCGCAGCACCCGCTCCTCGCACCATTCACCCCGGCCTCGGCCCTCCCTGCCGCCAACACCCCCTCCTACATGGGGAGCGGGGCAGGGAGCGCGGCCCCGGGGGAGGCGGAAGGCGGGACGGCAAGAACCGGGAGGGGAGGGGGAAGGCCACCGGCCTCACCGCCTCATCCGAGGGGCCCAGGCCCGGAGGGCAGCGCCGCCGCGGGGGCGCCCCGGGAAGGCGGGGCCTGGGCCCGCGATCGCTCCCCACCCCCTCAGCACCGGCCGCCCGGGC